GTGAAAAACGATGAATAATAGAATTATGCAAAAAGTAAAAGTCACTTCAATGCTTTATATATTCTTCGAATGGACAAGTGTCTTCTTAGTCTTCTTTGAGGATATACACATTTTCTTCTTTGAAGGCCTCCTCAAGTTCTTCTGTTCCAATTATGCTCCAAACCATCAAGATTACTTTATCTGAAAAATTGCCCTGATCTGCTCTGGTTGGGCATTGAGATGGCTATGTGACTATCATGTCTGCAAGCATATCAGGGTTTTCTAGGAGCAGAATTATTATTTCTTTGATAACATTTATAGGGCTTAAACTAAACACACACTTAAATTATTTTTAAAGAAACTGACATCAATTCTCTCCATGTTTCTGCAAAGCACATATGAGAGAGTCAACAAGCAAACTGACTAAGAGCCTAGGAACAACCTACAGCTCAGATACCAAAAGAGAAAGCAAGTTCTCAAGGAAGACAGTTGTGCAGAAGAATCCCTTTGAAAACGATTGAAATACACAAAGAATTGAAGTGACTTTTGCTTTTTACATAATTCTATTATTCGCTTTTCACTATTCATTCACTTTTTGAATAGTAAAACTTATTCATTCACTATTCATTTACTTTTTGAATAGTAGATACTATTCATTTACTTTTTCTTGAGGAGATGTAAAGTTTTATCATTCCTTAATTTTTACTATTTGCTTTTTTGAAATGATGTAAAGGTATTACTGTTCATTTACTTTTCCTTTGATATTCTTTTGATAGGATGTAAAGTAGGATTTGATGTATCTTTTTCTTTATTTGATTTGATGTAAATGAGAAGCAAAGATACCATACTGAGGCCTATAAATTATATCCCTTGCCAATTGAATAAAGAAAGAGAGTATGAAATCAAAAATTGTCTCTTGATTGAGATCGTCTTCTTGGTACATTAATCCGAGAGCCCGACCATCCTTAGTCCTGTTCCTAAAGGGAGTGAGTCTATTGCAGCAAGGTACCGATCATGGTCGCTATTGAGATAGATTGTATCACACCCAACAGGATAAGTTTGAGTAAGTCTCCCAAGCATCCAGATAGGTTTCTTTCTCAAGTCTCCCAAGCTTCCAGATAGGATTCTTTCTCATTTGTTCCTCATAGAAATCACCCGTGTAGGAGGGGTCCAAGAAGGTGGTTTTGTCCTCTCATCTCCTTCCCGTCTCTTCTCTCTATTTATTATATAAAAAAAAAGTGTCATATGGAGCCTAGGTGGCCAATGAAGGACTGGCCATCTAGGAGTAATACAGATGCCTAACTGGGCACCTCGGTTTTTGAGGTGCCGCAAACACACATACATGCATATATGTGCACTCCAAATGCAAATATATGCATACATATGTATAATGTTTTGCATATATCTGAAGAATTGTATCCTAAACAAAAATTACTTTTACACATATACTTGCAAGAAGGATGAAGAATCAATGGCCCACCTGCACTGCTAGGTGGCTAAAAAAGTATGGGAATCGCACCTTAAATTCTTTGGATTTGAGTGGGTCGTGCCACCCACTGTTAAAGCATTATTCCATAAATATTACACCCACCTATCCTTGTTAGGATGGATACTATAGAAATTAACTACAAACAAAGTTCAGAAAATCGAACAGGAATGGTTAACCGGACATGGGGCCGAGAGCGGTTAGAACTAGAAACGGATTAACTGGGCGGTTAACCAAACTAACCGGTCTCGTAGATTTTATTTTTTTTAAAATGGGTCAAAAACTCCCAAAAATATATAAACAAAAAAAAAAAAATAGAAAAACTTACACTATCTTATTACCTACATTTATCCAACAAAAAAAATTGAAACAATTTTTTATATAAATTAATATATGAATACTATGGAGATATAAAAACAATTTATAATTTGACATTAATTACAAAATTTATTTTCCTATTTGAAGAATGTCTTCAATAATCATATGATAAAAAGCAACCACTATTTGAAGCATGCAATCAACAATAGGAAAAATCACTTAAAGAAACATAATTAAAAAAATTGAGGAAAAAAATAAGAACCACGCAATTATTTTTTTTGTTAGAAAAAATATAATATTAAAAAAAGAAGAATCGATTTTTTTCATATTCATCAAAAAATATTTTTTTTATCAAAAAATATAATTTTATTAAGCAAAATAGAAAAACGCTTCCCATATTCATCAAAAATAATAATTTTCTTAAGTAATTTAATTTTTTTTTCAAAAACCTCTAAAATTGAGCAACATTTCAAGCAAGAAACGACCCTCAATGTTCAGATAATTGAACAAATCAACACAAAAGCCTTGTAAAGGCTTCGATCATCTTTCAAACGCACCAAATATCATATAAAAATATTTGGTATTTTTATTTAATTTAAAAAATCATGGAAAATTCAGATCTATGAAACTTTCATGACATTGAGCAAGAAAAAAAATTCATATAAAAAAATTTACTCAATCATAAATAAACATACCTATTTGATATGACAGATGAAGCCTTGATGATCAAACTCCACAAATCAATTTGATAAAAAAGGACCAATAAATTGATCCACAATCTATTTTTTTGGATTGAACACAGGTTCTTCAAGCAGCAGCTTTTCGGGCCAAATCAACCCCCAATCTCTTGTTTTTTGAACAAATTGAAACAGGGATGTGGTAATTGATTCAATTATGATTCAAAACCCTCAAATTTCATCAAGAACCATTAGCTATTGAAGATGATATTGACGAAACGGCAGATCGAACCCTATTTCTTCGAGTAGCAACTTTTCAAGCCAAAACCAATCCCCAATTTCTTGTTGTTTGAACAAATTGAAACAAGGATATGATAAATGCTTCGATTATGATTCAAAACCCTAAAATTTCATCAAGAACTATTTGCTATTGAAGATGATATTGACGAAATGGCAGAAATTCAAAAGGCGTGAAAATCCGCCACTTCAATCCACAAGAACTATTAATTTTTTGACCTTTGATACGAATATCCTTGTTTTATAGGCATCCAATAATGTTTTACAGTAATCAAGCACCAAAAATGCCAAAAAATGGCAAGGAAATCGAATCCAAAAAGCTGGAAAAGTGGATTCATGGGTGCTGCAACAAACAACGGCCTCCTTCTAAAATAATGCACATTATTTCAACCTAACCTTTATTTTTCTAAAAACGTCATTATATCGGCTACTTGGTTTAGTTAGCAGAAAAAATTGCCTGTTGGACAAAAATACGGCCAGTTCTACCCCAAACCGGCCGGTTTTGGGCCGGACATTTTATGGGGGTGTAGCCTAGGACACTAGAACCCATTGTTCGCAAAATTGCTCGATCTAACCGCTAACCGCCAGATTAGATCGGAACCGGCCAGTTCCGGTTTTGGGTGGTTAGGGTGATCAACCGGTATTTAAAACAAAAAATCAAAAAAATGTATAAAAATTCTCAAAAATAAGGAATTTGATTTGTAATGCATGTTTAAATATTCTTTACATTATGGTAAAGATTAAAAATTGTTTTGATCATTAATACTCACTTTTATATTTTACCATCTTTTTTAGAAAAATAGCACTTGGAAATTATAAAATAGGTTAAAACCCATTTTTTTCATTAATTTTCAACTTCATTTGAATGTGTTTTGTTTTAATCATTCTTTATATTTTAGTAGATTTTTTTTTTGTTTTTTGTTTTTTTTTTCAACACTTTTATGACCGCCCAGTACTTACCCACTTAGAACGGTTGAATCGGCTGGTTTACCAGTTAGGCCAGTTAAACCCCTTCTAAGCCCATGTTCAGTTAACTGTTCCAGTTAGATTTTGTGAACACTGCTAAAACCACAAAACCGACCCTAGCTGGACTTAGAACCCTAGCGGTTGCGAGCTTAACTGGCAGGTTCCAATTTTCACTGGCAGGTTCCAATTTTCACTGGCTGGTGTTTTTAACATTGACTCCAACAGCCACATTATGGTCCATATGGTTTAAAAGACAAGGAATGACTTTCCATGGAAGATAAACAATGACTTCCTCCCTACAAACCAAAAGCATTGAAATTGGCAGCTTCATGGGCTGGTCAATTTAGCAACCAGTGGAAGTTCATTATTGAGGAGGTGGGGAAAAGGCAAGACCAATAGGTCTGCAGTATGGCGGCCACCACAACCAGGCAGTGTAAATGTAAACTATGATAGTAGTTCCATAAGAACATTAGGAAAGGCAGGAGTAGGAGTTGTGAGAAAGCGTAGAGGAGAGATCATTCTTTCCTTCTCAGGGACCCTTGAAACTATGCCATGCAAATGACCCAAAGGCACATGCTTTATTGAAAAGTCAGTGAAACCTGAATCCACTGTGGACGACCATTTTAGTTAACAACATCTAGAGAATGTAAACACACGGGATGGTAAGAAAGCAGATATCCGCTTGGGATGACAGACATCTTCAAAGAGATTTTTCGCCTATGTTACTATGAGACTACGAACTTTAAGCACGCCCAGAGAGAGTTCAATGATCTAGCCGATTCATTGGCCAAGGGAGGAAGCTCTCGCCCACATCTTACAATCACTAAGTCATGCAGCTATCAACTAACCAATTTTGAATTAGCTTGATATAGTTATAAAGACACAATGCTTGTAATTCAGCAATGCATATAATGCCGCATATTTTAATAAAATTAAGATATTAAAAGAAAATACAATTGATCAAACTCAGTTTGCCGGGAGCTCATTCAGAAACATAGAATTCTACCACTACCTACTATGATTATAAGAACCTCACTTTCTTGATAGAAAAGCGGAAGGCAAGAGCTAGTTTCCAGATGAAAACAGAGAAGAAATACTTGGCCAAGTCCTATTAATGCAGTCCCAAACCTAGTGGAATAATCATAAACCTATATAAGAATCATAATTTGCTAGCAATGAAGTAGAAATATGACGAGTGAGTAGCACTTTTCCAATTCAAAGAAGCAGATACAGATTAGGTGAACATGATAAATGGAAGAAGCGCATCATATGTATACCATATTGTCTCTAAATACTTGAAGTACATGTCCTCCAGGTCCAATGCGTGCTTCTTATCATCTACCTGGAATCAGGTGCTAATCATTAATTTGCATTAACAAGGAGATTTTCCGGAAAAAAAAATTAAACAAATCAAAGATCCTTGTGCAATTTTATAAAAAGGTGAACAACCCTCTAAAGTTGTCAATATGCATATGAAGGAAAATTGGGAGATATTGAGAGATGGATAGTGCAAAAAATAGAGAAACAGAGAACTTCAACCAAAAATATATGAGTTTGGAGGGGAAGGTCTCCAAATTATAAAACTTCAAGAGAGAGAGAGAGAGAGAGAGAGAGAGAGAGAGAGAGTAGAAGTAAGAGACAGTAGAGTAGAAGAAACTACTAACGAACCAACAACCAAGTAACGAAACCTACTAAACCGTAAGACTAATAACTAAACTAACCGTAC